CTCGGCTCACTGCAACTTCTGCCTCCCAGGTTCAAGCAATTCTTCTGCCTCAGCCTCCTGAGTAGCTGGGACTACAGGTGCGTGCCACCACACCCGGCTAATTTTTGTATTCTTAGTAGAGATGGGGTTTTACCATGTTGGCCAGGATGGTCTCGATCTCTTGACCTCGTAATCCGCTCGCCTCGGCCTCCCAAAGTCCTGGGATTACAGGTGTGAACCACTGCACTTGGCCACTTTTAAAATAATATGGACTATACCAGATAAAAGGGCAAACACATTACCAAACTAGTCCCATATAAAAAAATACAAATTTGGAAAGCGTTCTATTTTTTTCTTTTTGAGATGGAGTCTCACTCTGTTGCCCAGGCTGGAGTGCAATGGCATAATTTTGGCTCACTGCAACCTCTGCCTCCTGGGTTCAAGGGATTCTCCTGCCTCAGCCTCCTGAGTAGCTGGGATTACAGGTGCGCGCAACTGCACGCAGCTAATTTTTATGTTTTTAGTAGAGACAGGGTTTCACCCTGTTGGCCATATTGGTCTCGAACTCCTGACATCGTGATGCACCTGCCTTGGCCTCCCAAAGCACTGGGATTACAGGTATGAGCCACTGCACCCAGCCAGCATTCATTTTTTTAACAACCAAAGGAAATGGTATATAAAATGATGTGAAGTACTATTTTACATCTAAATTCCGTATTATTGAGATAGTGGTGGAAAAGAGGCATGTACAGGGTGCCTTTCTCCAAGCAGCCTAATCTGTGGACTTTCTCTAGAAAACATGACAGAAAAAGCCAAGGCAATGCTTAGTCTCTGACCAGAGAAAGCCACTTCTAGCACCAAAACTAAGGAAATAATTCAAGTGGCTCAAAAAGGTATATGTAAGAGTTAATGGCAGCATAAGCTAGAATACCAGAAACAGTAATAAGAAAAATCATTTTTTCTTGGGTCTGGTGACTCACGCGTGTAATCCCAGCACTTTGGGAGACTGAGGCAGGTGGATCATGAGGTCAGGAGTTTGAGACCAGCCTGGCCAACATGGTGAAACCCTGTCTCTACTAAAAATACAAAAATTAGCTGGGCATGGTGGTATGTGCCTATAATTCCAGCTACTTGGGAGGCTGAGGCAGGAGAATTACTTGAAACAGGACCCGGGAGGCAGAACTTGCATTGAACCAAGATCGCGCCACTGCACTCCAGCCTGGGCTACAGAGTGAGACTCCCCATCTCAAAAAAAAAAATAAATAAATATATAAAAATCGGTTTTTAAAGCTGTAATGATAAACATGAAAAAACAGTAATAACATAAATATAAAGAGACAAACTATACCAGTTATAGCAATATAAAATATGTACATACATACTCAGAACTTAAAATGAAAACAGAATAAAGAAACCATAGGTAATTTTACTGTTAGTATAATGTTTTGTAATGGGAGCTTATCTTTTTATTCAAAATATCTGTTTTTAAATATATTCCTAACTTAAAATAGCATTTTAGTAGTATATTATGAAATAGAACACATACCTGATACTCGTCTATTAAATCTGCTAGGAACTGGAACTGCAAAATAAAGAAGCAACATTTAGTCATTATGTCACCAGGCCCCATTTTTATCCTCCCGTTTTGCAAAAGTCTTTTACAATAGACCTAAGCCCCTCAAAACCAAGCGGTGGGTCAGTTCATAGTCTTCCATACTCAATCACAAATAGTTGTTCAATGTGATATTAAGACAATACAGAAAATACAATATTTATTTGAAAACAAACTCTTTATAACTTCAATGTACTCAACCTGGCAATTTTATTTCTGCTCACATCTATATTCCATCTAATTTGTATCATTTCAACTGAATAAGAAGTCTACCAAATTTATTGATATGATATAAAGCAGTGAAATTTTCTTCCTTAATATTCTTTCAGTCAGGTGAGGTGGCTCACGCCTGTAATCCCAGCACTTTGGGAGGGCAACGAGGGCAGATCACTTGAGGTCAGGAGTTCAAGACCAGCCTGGCCAACATGGTGAAACCCCATTTTCTATTAAATATACAAAAAAACCGGCCAGGCATGGTGGCACATGCCTGTAATCCCTCCCTACTCAGGAGACTGAGGCACAAGAATCACTTGAACCCCAGGAGGCAGAGATTACAGTGAGCTGAGATTGTGCCACACTGCACTTGAGCCTGGATGACAGAGGGAGACTCTGTCTCAACAAATACATAAATTTCTTTAAAGATAATCCTGGGGGAGGGGGAAGGGAGACAATCCCCAGATTTGCTAGATAATAGTATATATATTGCATTTAAAAATAACTTAGGTCAGGCGCAGTGGTTCATGCCTGTAATCCCAGCACTTTGGGAGGCCGAGGCAGGCAGATCACCTGAGGTCCGGAGTTTGAGACTAGCCTGGCCAACATGGTGAAACCCAGTCTCTACTAAAAGTAAAAAAAAGTAGCCAGGTATGATAGTGCATGCCTGTAATCCCATCTACTTGGGAGGCTGATTCAGGAGAATCCGTTGAACCCAGGAGGTGGAGGTTGCAGTGAGCCAAGATTGAGCCACTGCACTCCAGTCTGGGTGACAGAGTGAGACTCCATCTCAAAATAAATAAATAAAACTTAAAGAGTATTAAACTGAAATTAAAAGTCAATTAACTATTAAGTTATACTCCCTCTTCCCCCCAGCAATATGGGTAAGTTTTCACCTGCCCATGGACAGTACGTTTGTCAGAAAAATATACATCTTTATGTCAAAAAAAAAAACCCACAGACTTTTCTGTTTGGTTTTTTTTTTTTTTT